AATAAACAATTCTCAGAAGAAATTTGACTCACTTTCTGTATTTGTTGCCATTTTCTAATGACACAAAGGGAAACTGGACCCAGACAAATGATGAAGAAGGAAAAAACAATTAGGCAAAGATGGAATCTGACCCAACCTGAAACAGGAACAAAAAAAAGTCCAAATTAGTTAACAGTAAACATTCAGGTCCACAAGTGGTTCTGAAACGTTCTGGTTCCCACAGACTCACCGTTCCTGCTGGTTTCCTCCTGTGGCGTCAGAGTGATGAGGTTTCTGTGAGAAACCGTTTCTGTTGTCAATGAAACAAAGTTTGGATCTGAAACAGCAACAATAACAGGACTGATGAGAAAAAGTCCAACAGATTCGGATCAGAACCTGCAGTTTGGACCCGTTCCTCACCAACAACAAGCAGAAGTTCTGCTTCTATCCCGAGGCGTGGGATGAAGCATCGGAACCTGCCCTGGTCCTGCAGGCTGACGTTCCTGATGGTCAGAGAGACGTCTCCTCGCCTCAGGCCGTCCTGGGACAGAGACGTCCTCTGGATGTACGTGTCCATCATCATGTCTCGGTCCGTCTTCCTGAAGCGGTACACGAACACGTACTCCACACGCTTCTGAGGGCCGGTCGGCCTCAGGTCCGGTCGGGACCACTCCACCGTCTTCCCCACGGCGTCCCACTCAGGATCCACCCGACACGGGAGGATGACGTCATCTCCAGGAGCAGCTACGATTGGCTGAGAGGAACCAATCAGATGGAGGCCACCTGGAGTCGCAGGGAAGATTTTATTAGGTTTCATAAATATGATCATGAAACTAAAGTAAAACCCTGAAACTTCTCAGTGTTTTGGGTGACAAACTTCCCCAAGAGGGGAAAACCCCACAGACAGAAACGCAATCCATCTGTGGAGGGTTGGGTTTCCACCAGGTTTCCTCCGGGAAGTTTGTATCATAAGCAGCTGTTTGGGAAATCTGCCAGAATGTCACATTTATCATTTTACTCAAACAAAAGCAAACAAGCGGAAAAAAAAATAATTACTGTGATCGCCATCGGGGATGTCAGGAATCGTTAAGCTCTATTTGCTCTCACCTGAATCAACAACTGGTGATTTAAACTATTTTATCATTTAAATCATTAAATTAATTCTGTTCTCCATTTGCTTCTCCATAATTTGGAGCAAAAATCCAAAGTTTTCTATTCATCTAGCTCTTATCATTTAAGAAGATGATTGGTTTTTGAAATTTACATTTTTGTAAAATCTGGATTTTTTTCACAATCAGCTGAGGAACTAATCAGCTGGAGATGCAGGTGATATTCACTAAACCGCACAGCATTCTGGGGGATGTAGGCAGAGGAAAGACATTAGCTGTGTCCGAATTCAGGGTCTGCATCCTTCGAAGGACTGGTCTACGTAGGACGGGTCCTTCGAAGGCCGGGAATAAACTAAGACCGGAAGAAAAATATCTGTGGATGGACAGGTCTAGCCTTCACCAACTGTCCCCGCCCCCACCTCAGCGTAACTCATGTTGCCAAGCAACCGTGACAGCGCGAAGCAGAGAGGAGAGAAAAACTACGGAGCCGAAGTTTGTTTTTCAGTCATGTATTACTGATTTCTATATTATACTTCACTTTTTATAGTAAAGGATGTTCCATAGTAAAAAGGAAATCTCTTAGTTTGATTATAAAATGTTCAAATGTGTACTGCACTTTTCTACAAGGAACACAAATTATTCATTTACAAATATAAAACTCTCCACATCGCAGATAGGACATTACGGTTAAATAAAGCTATTATGTTTGAAGGCTTAACTTTAATTAAATCAAACAAACCGATGTACTCTGCTTTGAAATACTTTATAAACCAAACATTTTTCAACCAGACCTGTCTGAATAATATCGGTGTTTAACTCACTCATTGGGGAAAGCTAGCGGGAGTTTTTATAACAATTTGCCAGGAGTTAGGCGATTTCTCTCGGTATACCGAACCTGGAGCGCCCGGCCAGCTGACAGCTGGAGGGGAGCTGGCTGTTAAAGCAGCGGTAGCAGACAGGTCCGAAAATGTCAGAGCAATATTGCAATTAGGTGATGTATTGATGAACCGAGCATATATTTGAGATTTACACACTTACATTCTCGCCTAAAAACGTTGAACCAAATCACGTTGTGTCATTTAAAGTGTTATATAGCTAAATAATTTGTCGCTATTCACCGCCATTATCGCTCTGCCTGAACGCCCAGTTGGAACCCGCAATGAATTATGGGATATCGTGGGCCGTGAAGGATACACCGGACCCATCCTTCAAATCTGGGGAAAAGAAGGACGCATTTGAAGGATGCATTTGAGGCGACAGGCCTTGTCGCCACGCTATGACGTAATCGGCCTACAAATCCGTCCTTCGAAGGATGCAGACGCTGAATTCGGACACACCCAACATTCTCACTATTTGGTTACCTAACAACCCACTCGCTCTTTGGTTACCTAGCAACCAAACTCTGAACCAACTTAGTATATATTTTTTTTTACATTTATTTCAAACAGGTTTTTAATCGAGAAAACATGTGCATACTTAACCAAGAACAAAGTAATTATATTATCACTGCTTTTCTGTTTGAAAAGGAGCAGGAAGAAGTGAACACTTATACCCATAACCCTTTTCTCAATTTAATGAAATATACAGTATCACTTACTGACCGGGTAGTTATCAGAAATTTGTAATTAAAACCATGTTGTAATGTTCATGTGCCTGTTAAATATACTGTGCTAAAGATCCAACAAATAAATTATATTATAAACAAAATAATTGCAAACTGACTCTAATAAAGCAAGAAAATCTATGAATAATAATAATAATAGTAATGATAACGGTAAAGATCAGGTAGTGTTTGGTGGACAGCTCTCTCTTCACTCGAGTGTCCAAGACATTCAGCCGCAGATCAGATTGTCCAGGTGCCAAGAGGACATGTAGACACCCTGATGCCTGAACATGGCATTCGTTATATGAGCATTTCATGATGCAAACAGAGGTTCATTGCTTCCAAAGAATGAGGATGAATCTCCCATCCAGTTAATCAATTAGTCACTACAGTTAAATTCCTCCTCAGTGAATCCATGGAGACCACAGTCTGGTCCAAACGGCTGAATAACTTCTCCATGACTCGGTCCAACGGCCCTGAATGTGATAATAGATCTTGTGTTGCTAGAACGGTCAGGTTTTCATGTTAAAATATGAATATTTTTTTCTTTTACTTTCTGTAAATAACACATTATCCTATCAGCTCCACTTAGGGAGGCTCAGAAGATGATTTTAGGAGGATTTGTTTGCTTCTGGATTCCTGATTCAGTCTTTAATATGCTGAGATCAGATTGATCAGCAGCAAATTTGTCATCAGCTTATCTGTAATTTATATGATACTGGTAATTTCCGAACATATATTTTTTTGTTGAGTCATAAATCACATGTCACTCACACACAAAACGTGAGAACATCATGCAAGAGAAAACATGTGTTTGTGGGCAAACTCATCATCAGTCACAGTAAAAACATCAACAACTTCAAAAAGAAAGAAAAAAACAACAACAAAGAAACAAACAAAAAACTCCCCCCAAAAACAAGATGTCTCTGAGGTTTTCTAAAGTATGTTTTCCTGACAGGTATTCCCCAATACTTTGTTGTTGCTCTGTAAAGTACCTGAAGGCATCATCATAGTACAAGTAAAACAGCTGAAATCAAATTAAAATGTTAAAATGTTGAACAATGAAGCAAATATTAATATTTAACATGAGATATAATTTTATTCTAATTTAAATCATCGTTTGGAACCAAATTTAAAGCTCTATAGAAATGTGAGACTTACACTAGTCAGTGAAATATGACATCTCCTTTTAATGGAAACTGCTGATTCAATGTTGAATAAAACTGTAAAATCCAATTAATATGAAAAACACAAGAGTTATGAAACTATAAAAACATATAACCCTAAACTCAGCTACACTTAAAAACAAATTTATTTATTTATTTTCTAAAATCAGTCTTCTGAACTTGACGTTTATCACCGCAGAAACAGTTATTAATTATAATTATAATTATTGAGCTCAGACTGAGCAGCAGCAGAAACTCACCGTGAACCGGAGTCCAGCTCATACAGAAGGTAAAAATCCACAATGAAAACATCAGAGACCGGGAACATGTTCAGACCAAACTGGATATATCTACAGTGACTCAGGTAGAAAACTAAACTGCAGTTACTCATCCTACCACGTGCACGGAAATTACGTCACCATATTGTGAGTGGCAACTAAAGCCTCTCATCTTCTTCTTTTCTACTATGGCGGATCGCAAGCAACTTCAAGATGCAAAGCGTCTCATACTTCGTACTTTCATGAATAAAAGAACTGTTGATTTTTAAAAATGAGCTGCATGATATCTGTTCATTTCCGTTCTAATGTTGAAATTCAGAGGCAAAAACCAACAATAATTGCAGGTTTAAATGCGTTTTGAATGTATCTAAATTACCTAATTTACCTTTCAACTTATCTTAACAATACCACCTTATTAATTTCAGTTGTAATCATAATAACTTCATATCTAATTTATATGATTTGTTCAGTCACAAATGATTAAAGGAAGTGTAACAGGTGGCAGGTGTTGCAGCCTCCTTACAGCCTGAGCTCCTATTAAAGGGAAGCAGGAGAGGGGGGCTAAGTGTCAAGTTCCTGGGTGAGACCAGGTGTGTTTTGGGCCCACGCCGTCCATTCTTTGCTGGATGTGGTAGGTTTGGAGGAAAACTGTTTTAAATTGATCCCTTTTATAATACAGGTGTGGTGTTTTTATACAGGATCACACTGTTAGTGACTGTAGCGTTACCTGGGCTTGTGGCTATGCATTTGTCTTTTTAATAAGATTGGATTGTATGTTTTTGTTTTTTATATTGTTTTTCATTTGGCAGGGCTGCACCAGATCCTCCAAGTTGACTTTAAAGTGCTGGTTTATGCAAGGCAGGTATGCAGTGTTTTTAATGTTTTAGCTTGATGTAATAAATGTGATTTCATAAGCATTTAGTAATTTTTGCATTTTTGTTTTTACAGTTCTATCACTGCTTCCTACTGTCCTGTAGAGTTTGATTTTTCTTTCTTTTTTGTTAGTCTGCCCAGCTTTTGATTGTTTGTCTCCCCTTATGTGGGGGCAGGCTAACAATTTTCCATTTATTTTGTATTTGTATGTCCTTTTTCTCATCTTTGGGGCACTTCCCCGAAATGTCGCTGTTAATTTTAAATATCTGAGACCTGAGTTTGAAGTGCATGTAATTATTATGCAGTGAATCGAGTGCAGTTTGCAGTGGTTTGTCCGCCTGAAGTGGTTGAATAAAGTTAACGGGAAATCCCCTTGTATAACAAATATTAACTTGTTGTTTATCACTCCTCGGCTTGACGGAGTACAGAAGGTAAATGTGAAATTCTTTAATCTTGATTTTTGGATCTAAATTATTTACTTCTACTTAAGATTAAAAATAGCTAATTTATCTGGCAACTGTTTTTTTAAGTACTTCACTAGATTGCTTGCTAGTTAAAAAAAGGTTAATTATAGAATTCAGCTGTAAAGTTGGATTATTTAGCTAATAAATTCTGTCATTCCTTGTTGTGTCTGAATTCATTGATTCATGAGAGACTGAGTTTGGTCCAAGACTCCAGAGATGCTAGAATTTCTGCCCCGATTCAACTAAAGAACTTTAAATAAATAAAATTATATAAGCTAAACATAGTTATGAATTCCGGTTCTCAACATTTTTGATGCCATATCAAAATGCTTAAACAGTGTGAAATAGTTTCTTCCTCTGCAGTACCTAGAAGTGGACTCTAGGTGTCACTCTTCATCTGTCACATGACTCAGAGATGTGACTCAAGTGACTCAGCTCATGCATCACGCGCTGTAAACTTGTCCAGACATGCGTCGATGAACTTTGACACATAAACACATCTCTGCATCATCTGTCGGACTTAAGCCATGTTGGAAGATTTTAAATTTCACTTTCAGAGCCAGAAATCAGATTTGAACTGTTTAATCTTTAATAACTAGCGGTCAGTAATCTACTCCGCTGTAATTTCTATATTTCATTTGTACATTCTTGAATCTAGATGTTTACATTGATATGTAAAGAGTAGCAATGCACCGATCCGTTGCATAGAAATAAAACTCACAATTTTCCCTCTGATCGGTTATTGACAGGTTTATGCTGAAATGAATGAATGGACTAGTCACCGTAAAGAGATTGTAGAAAAGCGGAAAATCTACCAGGAAATGCTTGATGCGATCTGACATGTCGTATACAGAGGGTTAAAGTCGACATTAAAATAAATCGGAGCATTTTGTCTGCATTTACAAACAAAACTGAAAAAATGAGGAAAACAGTAAATCAATATCATGTTTATGATGCTTTCAACAATCCACACTTGGCAGTTTGTTACACATTCAGACTAAAAGCATGACAGTAAGAAGTGCAGGGAGATTCTGGAGGTACAAAAAAATAAACTGAAAGCAGAGAAAAAAAAATAATGCTGCAGATACAACATTACTAGTTAATTTGTTTTAAAAATAATCAGAAACTCAAGCAGATTCTGGTGACATCATGTGAAACAGAAATGACAAATGTGATAATGATGCAGCTAAGTATGATCAATTGTAAATTTTCAAAATGTATTCAGTTTTACAAGAAAATTAAGAAATTAGATTCTCACCACACATCAAACATTAAAACAACAAAGATGACAGAGTAGCTCCACTAAGACAGCTGATCTCTCAGCAACAATGATGGAGACAAAAGGAACTGGGACTAAAATACACATTTTAACCAACTGGACCTCAGATCACTGCTGACTATTTCAGTTTAATGAACTCAGCAGAGGAGGCATCAGAACAGGAAAGGGAGAAGTAAAGACCAACTCCAACATGTAGCGGCTGAGTGAATCTGGTCTGGACTCTGTGGAGGAGAGTCATGGTTTTAGAGACGCTGTAGAAAGACAGAATACCTGCTGTGTGGTCCAGGTACACTCCTATTCTGGAGGAAACTGGACCTGGTACTGGAGTTTCAATGTTGTTGTAATAAAATGTGTAACTGTCTGTGTAACCATATAAAGACCAAGATTTGTCATTGAATCCAAAAGCTTCTGTTCTGTTGATGTTCTGGTATGAAACGGCTACATAAACTCCACTCCCAGTTCGCTCAACCTCCCAGTAACAATGTCCAATGAGACTCTCTCTGCTCAGGACCTGAAAAACACCAGAGAATCTGTCTGGATGATCAGGATAAAATTGTTTTTGTCCCATTAATGTTACTTTCCTGTTCCCTTCAGATAATAACAGATTTCTGTGAGCCGTGTTTGGATCCAGAGTGATTTCTTGTAAATATTTTAATAATCTCGTTCTGGTCTTTGGTTCTGATGCTGGTTCTGATAGTAGAACGTCCACTTTAGTTACTGCAACTGAGATGTTTGTCCATGCGTCTCTCAGGACGTCCTGTAGTTTGTCCCTGAGCTCTGTCACAGCTGCTGTCACGTCCTCAAAGTGTCTCAGAGGACGGATGTTGATGCTGGATGAGTGTGTCGACTCCCTGAGTGCTGGCAGTGAGGGGTAGTTGAGGAGAAACTGGGTGTGATCCTCTGTGTGTGAGAGCTGCTCCAGCTCAGCGTCTTTCCTCTTCAGCTCAGTGATCTCCTGCTCCAGCTTCTCCTGAACATCTTTGACTCGACTCACTTCAGTTTCCTGCTGGGATCTGATCTGCTGCTTCACCTCAGAGCTTCTTTCCTGGAGGAGACGGATCAGCTCAGTGAAGATCTTCTCACTGTCCTCCACTGCTTTATCAGCAGAGACATTGATGGCCTCCACCTCCTGTTGAAGCAGCTTCACATCTTCCTCTTGGTCCTGGATTCTCTGATGGATTTGTTGTCGACTCTCCTTGAGCTTCTTCTGCTTCTCAGCTCTTTCTGCTTTAGCTGAAACCATTTCATGGCCTTTATGTTCCTCCATAGCACAGAGATAACAGATACACTGCTGATCAGTACGACAGAAGATCTTCATCACCTCATAGTGACGAGAGCAGATGTTCTGCTGGAGGTTCTTAGAGGGATTCACCAGCTTGTGATTCTGTAAAGGTGGAGCATTGTAGTGAGGTTGGAGGTGATTCTTACAATAAGAAACCAAACAGACCAGACAGGACTTGACAGCTTTCATCTTCCTCCCAGTGCAGACATCACAGGGCACATCTTCAGGTCCAGCATAGCAGTGATCAGCTGGAGCAGCTTGGAGTCCAGTCTTCTTCAGATCCTCCACCAACTCAGCTAACATGAAGTTTTTCTCCAGGACAGGTCTCGGTATGAACTCTCTCCTGCACTGAGGGCAGCTGTGGATCATCATCTGATATTCTCCATCCCAGTAGCAATTAATGCAGTTCTTACAGTAGTTGTGTCCACAGGGAATAGTCACCGGATCCTTCAGTAGATCCAAACAAATTGAACAAGAAAAGTTACTTTGGTCTAGTTGAACTATTCTCTGCTCCATTTCAGCTCTCAGTAACAATGACCCTGACCTAAACGTGTTCCTGCAGTGAATGAGGCTTGAACACATATCTCCGTTGGGATCAACGGAGATATGTGTTGGAGTACGGCAAGCCATTTTATCATACATTTGGTTTTGTCTGACTATCCGTAACCACATTCTAGATATTTTAAAATATCTGTATTTACCTTCTGACTAGTAAGAATAATAATTCAAGATATCTTACATTATATTTTGACAAGTCAAAATTCCTTTCCAGATATCTTTAATTTAGTTTTGACAAGTCTTTATTTTCTTTTAAGATATCTATAATTTAATTTTCACTAGTCAAAAATACAAATCTCCTATCCAAAAATACATTTAAGATATCTTGAATTATTGTGTCATCTTTAATTAAAATTATGACTAGTCAAACCTAAAATCGAGATATCTTGAATTTACTTTATGACTAGTCATAATTTAATTGTAGATATCTGAAATGTGTATTTCAGATAGTCAGTAATTCATTGTAGATATCTTGAATTGAAGTCTCCATACAAGTCAATGGTAAATTTGACATCATTTTTGACTAGTCAGAATGTAATTAGAGATATCTCAAATAGTTATTTTGTGTAGTCTAAATATAATTAGAGATATCTTAAATTACTTAAACGTCTAGTCATAAAATAATTTGAGATATCTGGAATGTAAGGGCGGTAAACCCAAGTTTATGTTAAATCGGTCTGCCATACATTGGAGGTGCTGCGTAGGAGGAGTTAGTAGACCTTTTATGGCAAGTCGTTTTAACATAAATTCGGTTTTACCGCCCTTACATTACAGATATCTCAAATTGTTTTGTGACTAGACGTTTTAACAATTTAAGATATCTCTAATTATATTTTGACTAGACAAAATAACTATTTGAGATATCTCTAATTACATTCTGACTAGTCGAAATGACGTCAGATTTACCATTGACTTGTATGGAGACTTCAATTCAAGATATCTCAAATGAATTACTGACTATATGAAATACACATTTCAGATATATACAATTAAATTATGACTAGTCATAAAGTAAATTCAAGATATCTCTATTTTGGTTTTGACTAGTCATAATTCTAATTAAAGATATCTCGAATTACTCCATAATTCAAGATATCTTAAATGTATTTTTGGATAGGAGAAATGTAATTTTGACTAGTGAAAACTGAATTATAGATATCTTAAATTCAAATAATGACTAGGCAAAAATTAAATTAAAGATATCTTGAATTGTAATTTTGACTAGTCAAAATTTCTTTTAAGATATCTCTACTTGAATATAGATATCTTGAATTACACAGCTTTTCTATTTAAGATATCTTAAATTGACATTCCGACTAGTCAGAATGACATTACTGATATCCTGAATTAGTATTCTGTCTACTCAAAACGTCCCCGACTTACGTAGCAATTTGAAAGTTTAATAAAACAATGAAAAATAGAGAAAACGAAAAAAGATGTTTGAAAATGCGCCACTTTCATGTTGAAAATGGTTTGACAATAGCAATTTTAGTGTTTCAAAGCTGTTTTTAAGTGCATTCGGTTCTTTGGAAATGAATAAACAGGAAGTTCTTTGCAGATATCAGAAGCAGTCTTATAGTTTATGAAGTTTTGCTATCTCCGCATTTCCAACATTGTCGAGCTCTTTCTAATTTGTGGCATTTACTGACAATTTTGTGCAGGAAACATAAAATCCTGCAGGCAACTGTTTGGACATCACAAAGGGGCTTCAACGTCATTCTTAATTCAGATATCTGAAATTATAATTTTGGCTAGTCATAATTGTGTTGAAGATATCTTAAATCGTAATTACGGATATTTGTCCCGTCAAATGACAGATCCAGTGACGTCATTTGAGATATCTTGAAAGGAATTTTGACTAGTCAAAATGTAATAGAAGATATCTTGAATTATTATTCTTACTAGTCAGAATGTGAATACAGATATCTTAAATTACTACTCTGGATAGTCAAAATGTAGTTTTGTCTAGTCAAAATGCATTCTTAGATATCTGGAACGTAAGAAGGATAGTCAGATGAAACCGAATTTATGTTAAAACGGCTTGCCATAACCTTGGGTTCCAGGAAAAGCTGTGAGGAGTGTCTTCCACTGTGCCTGCTTATTTTCTCAAGTTTCTATGTGAAGAATCACTGAGGGTTGCAACAGAAAACGGATTACTTATAAAATGTTTAGAGCAGAAAAGAGATTTAAGCTTTTACCTGTTTATGGTTATTTTGGGAATTTTGACTGCTGAAGTAATGTTACTCATTTAATTTTATCCAAATGCATAAAAAATGAGGGTTCAACTTGATGAATTAAGACTGATGAATATGAGATTTAGCCAATAAAATGTCACATAATTAAATATTTCATGCTCACCTCATTGGCAGCAGTTGTTGGTTTTCTAAATATAGTATATATTTGCATATAATAGTAGGAGACTTGTCAGAAATCCATCGTAACAAAATATTCGTTTGAGCACAGAAAATTAGGACATTATACAACTTGTTGAGATGCTTTACCAAGGCTGAGAAAGAGTCATGCTGTTAGACAAAGGGCCCATAGTAAAGAGTTACATTTTTGATTCTATTAGACACCGAGGTCCATTTCCCACGAGAAACTTATCATGAGACATGGTGTGATTTCAGGAAGTGTCGTCAGTCAGACTTTTTAGAAACTCTTGTCGGATGTAATGGTAAAGCGTCTCCTTTCAGCGCTGAAAGTTAATAAAATAAGTAAAGTCTGAATGCTTTTCTTGGCTGATTTTATCCTCCGTGTGTCAATACAAATTATGATTCATTGATTGAGATTCTCATTCTCAACAAACTTGCTCTTGTTTTGGATATGTTTATTTGGTAGACCAAGGAGAAGAGACACTGGATTGAGATCAATATTAGTTTTGATCATTTTCCTTATCTCAGCCAGAATAGATTCCCAGTATATCTGGATCTTGGGCCAGACCAAAGACAGTGTGTGAGGCTGCCTTCATGTATTTTACATTTAGGACACAGTGAAGCGGACCCTGGTTTAAACTTGGACACCTGGTTTGGGGCCAAGTGGCCTCTATGCAGCAATTTAAGTTGCAACGCCCAGGAATGATTACAAATGGAATTTTTTATGACAGAGTTCCAAGTATTGCTCCACATTTCATCAGTGATCTCATCTCGGTATTCAGCTCTCCTCCCCAGGACTGGGACAGAGTGGACAAGTGAAGCTTATGACATTCCAGTGCCTTGTAGCACAAACTGAGTGACACTTCACGAGTTCTGAAAAACAGTTTTCAATGCCCGAAACCTCAGTGTCCCTGAGAAGAGTTGTTTCTTTTTTAACAAAGTCTCTTAGCTGGAAGAAACGGAAGAGGTTATTTCCCCTACTTCAAAAGCTTCCACAATTTGATTAAAAGACACGAGGATGCCCTCCTTAAAAAGACGCCCAGAGAGGAAATAAGTCTGGGTTCTGGACAAAGGGTGTAAATGGGGATGTTTTCCCAGTTCTTCTCTCGATTTGTGGAACTGCCCTCCAGGCCTTGGCTGTATTCACAGTGATTGGATTGCTACAGCATTTATTTATTGTTTTCATATTTTTAAGACAAAGCAGGCTTTTAAGAGGGCAGTCACATAACAAGGCCTCTATATCCAGCCACACTGTGTATGAATTTCCAAATATCCACTCTTGGGCATATAATATAAGAGAACTCAACTGATATTTTTTAAGGTCTGGAAGATTTAAGCCTCCCTTGTCTCTTGGTAGCTGTAGTGTTGATATTTTTATGAGTGCCCTTCTTTAGGTCTAGATAAAGGAACCAATCCAACTCTTTAATTTTTTGGATCCACCTCTGAGTAACCAAAATAGGAATCATCCTAATTGGGTATAACAAGCGAGGGAGAACATTCATCTTAAGAAGTGAAATTCTGCCCAGCCAAGATAAGAGAAGACAATTCCAGCGTTCAAGGTCTAGGACTAGCTTCATTTTTTCAAATAATGGGACAAAGTTTGCTGATCAAAGACAGGTGTGACAAATATGCTGAGGTATTTAAATCCTGCAGGGGACCACTTAAAAGGAGAATTAGGGATATAAAGTTATCTACCCAAGGGCATGGCCTCGGATTTGGAGAAATTTATTTTGTATCCTGAGAATTATCCCGTTGTGTTGTCGTCTAACTCAGACTAGGACGTCACCAGCTTGAATTTACCAAATTTAGTAACTATTGTCAAGGCCCTCTCTACTTTTAAGGCAATATTATGCAAGTAAAAATGGCAAATTTGAACATCTTCCCTGCGTTCAAGTTTTTTCTTCTCTTCTTTTTTTTGTTAAATGAAAGTGTGCAATACCGCCACCATCTGGTCTGGAGTGTGAACTGGAGCTAATCCTGTTGATCATAGATCTTATATCACATCTGAAAATGGGTTGGGTACTTTAAACAACATTACATCATGATTATCATTTTTTTATTCTCTGCAATTTAACAAAAATAGTAAAAGATTATTAAGGCACCTAAAAAAGCATACTTTGTTGGTGCTTAAAAAGTATGCCTACAAATTACATGAAAAGTACTTTATAGGTGCCTAAAAGACATACTTCTGCATATGTATTAATTAGTTTCATTTTGTAATCAGGTTGCTGCGTGTTGCAGGTCCCTCTTGAAAATGAGATCTGGATCTCAGCGGGGTTCACCCGTTTAAATAAAGAATTTAAGAAAAGGCATACTTTATTAGCCTAAAATTAACACTGAGATTTAATTTAAAACATACTGAAGTTAAAAATTTAAAGTAGTGTTAAGTGAACTTTAAAAAATTCTATTTTGAGCATATATATTAAAATATATTTTAAATATATTAAACATACTTTAAAATATATTTAAAATATATTTGAGCAAGTGTATATTTGCACTTGGGCAAATATATATTTTGTTCACTTAAAGTATACTTTAATTTAATATATTAAAAGTGTATTTTGGTACAATTATGTTTTAGTGTGTTTTAAGTTCTAAT